GAGGGTTGGATGCTCAGCAGCTTGGCAGGACTTGCTTACGTGTCTGGTTTGCAGTGCTAGTGGTTTCTGTTCCCATGTGCCTACACTGGGATTTTTCCAAGGTACCAGAATAGTACCACCACACTCAACCCCACTCTGGGAGGAAAAGCTGTGAGGTCCTCTGCCCTGCTTTCCCTCTCTCCCTACAAAGCAGTTGCTACAAAATAGACCCCAAGCGACCGCTCAGATTAATCACAAGTCTCGATCCCTGAGGACACCTGGTTCTGCTTTCCCCATTTAGAGAAGCTAATTTAAATTCCAGCCTCCAAGCCAGCATCCTTTCTTCCTACTGCACCAGAAGGATTCCTTGCAAAAAACCAGACTGTGTTCTTCATGGAGAATCCCCTGGATCCCATAGCCCACTTCAAACACGCAGCATTCTGCTTCTCCTTCCCCTGATTTGCTTCATTGAAATTCACTGAGACTGGGGAAATTTACCTTTATTTTCTTTCTGGCTCTGTCCTCATGACTTAGGACAAGCCACTTTCCATCCACTGCCTGCCTAATTTCCTTGGAGGTACCATCTCCAGAAGTCAGAGATTTCTGGGCTCTCTCTATTGCTTAAGCACCTACCAAGATGAGGAATCTAGATGCCTCCACAAGTTTGCTGCATGTGTGTTTCTCCAGGCATCTTCTACTCCAGGAAGAAAGCCCATCTCAGGGAAAGAAAGCTTCTTGGGAGGTTTCAAGCCATGCTCAGCTCTGCAACAGGGCTCCTGGCGAGGGAAGCGTGATGGGGATAACATTTGCTCAGGCACAGCACAGGGTTTGGGCACTTCTGTGTTACCTAGAGTATTAGATTTCAGGGCACAGCTCCCCTTGGCCATGCAGTCCCATGGCTGTTGTGTTAACCCGGGGATGACACTGCCCACAGGTCAGACAAGAGGGAGCTAATGTTCAGACCAGTCACTCTGCACCTCCACGGCGAGCCCCAGCACTTCATAAAGCAGACAGTGCATCCATCCTGCAACAAAAAAGGCCTGAAAAATGAGGATATTGCAGAGCCAGTCCCCACCGTTCTCCTTATCAAGGCTGGTAGCACAAAACTCTGTCTGAATCTGGTTTGAACTGAAAAAGCTCCTACAGAGAGAGCAGGATGAAGGGGCTGTCAGCACTCAGCAAGCAGCTCAGGAAGCACAGGGACTGGGAGCCTATTGTTCAGCTGAGAGCCCCCCACTCGCTTCTCCCCTCCACCCCAGACTCTCAGATTTATAAAAAACCACCTAAAAAAAAACTTAAGAACTTTTTAAAGCTTATCAGCAAGGGTTTGCTCACGAATCCATCATATCTTAAACACAGATTCCCTAATGGCTTGTTCACTGGGCTGCATTCAAGCTGAAAGGGCTGCTGGGCATCTGGGATGGGCTTTGCTGCTCTGGGGAAATCTGCTCAGGGATTTTAAACCAAGTTTCCCAGGGAAACGAGTCTCTGTGTCTATCTGCCCCTGGCCCACAGGAATATTTGAGTCTATTGGTCTGTTTAGGCTCAGTATGATGCAGAGGTATTGGGAAAACAGGAGCAAAGTAGGTGGGAGATGAGAGGTGGGGATCCCTGTAAGATGGTTCAGCCTCATCTTCCCAACTGCAGTGCCACCTGAACAGCACAACGTGCAGCCATTCTCTCCTCCACACCCCAGAATCTCACCCAGGGGATCCCTGGGACACACTCCTTCCTTTTTTTCCCTCTTTCTTTGTTGCACCAGACAGTCTGAGAAGAAGAAACTGTGGAGGTGTAGCTCATCTGTTGAACTTCACAGGACAACCTGCCTAATGTCAGGTTTTGAGCTGAGTAATTTTGGCACATTCTAAGCCCTTTCTCAGCCTTCTGCCCAGCTTGTTCCATTGCTGTGTCATTTCTGATTTCCATCAAAATTCCATGGGAATCAATAGGCTCTGAAAGGAGACTCGTCCAGGAGAGGACAAGAACTTCCAAATGGCACAGGGCTTGGCGGGGTAGGAGCTGAGGGAGATTTGGGGTGAGAAAATATAGACCAAGGTTAGAAAGGGTGTGGAGAGCAAGGCTGCACAGTCTGTTCCACACAGCCTGACGTCTGGGAAAGCCACTTCATCTGGAAAAGGCAGCTAAAGCCCAAAGAAAGTGCTTTTCTGCCTGTAAATAAATAAAATTATATTTAACCTCCTTCCCAGGCGCCCTGCGAGTGTGAATGTTTGCAAAGCTGTGAGATCCTCAGTTGAAAGGTGCTGTGAAAGTGCAAAGCATTATTAATATCCTTTACCTTCCTCATAATAGAGTACGCATTCATTCTGGGGAATTTCTGGACATAAACCAGACAGCTGCAGAATGACATTTCTTGAAAGCATCTATGATTTATTTTCTGCTCTTTAATTCCATTTTGTATTGAACACACATTTGTCATAGGGCTGTTGTTCCACTGGGCCTTTTAAGTCTAAAACAGACTTGGGGACCTGATCCTTGGTCGGTGTAAATTTGCCCCTCACTTCCTTGTAGCTATTTGCTGATTTACACCAGAAGAGGACCTCAGCCCAAGGTTTTTAATTGAATTTCCATAGCACGGCAAGTTTTGGTGTAAAATCCAAGTGGTTTTAATGACAGATAAGACTCTCCCTGTAACTCACTGTCTGGCTGGAGTTCTGTAGGATCTCTTCGAGCCACTGGGCGTCATGTCCTGGGAACAATATTGTTTTTGCAGAAACTCAACTCTCTGGATAGGTTCCCTGGCTCTGCCTTTTCCATTTTGTTTTAAACACGTTCAGCTTTAGAGTCTGGGCCTGGAAGCTGGGAGGGCTGGTGTGGTTCTTTCACATTGCACGGATTTTTGTGAAAACAAAACAAAAATAGCTTAGTGGATTTGGACTTTTTATTTTTTTTTGAGAGAGAGAGGGAGAGCTGGAAACTTGCAGTAGCTGAGTGAACAGTGGTGTCAATAGCAACGCCTGGATTGGTAACCATCCTATCAAACCCTTCTTGCCATGGCAAAGTGGTGGGTCTCATCCTAACAACACGAGTGTGGGTGCCCCTATATAGTCCCACACTTAATAATCCAGCTCTACAGGGAAAACTGAGGCAAAGGGACTCATCTGAGATATACTGGATTAAACCTGGGCTGAGTCGCGCACACACAGTCCTTCCAAGCTGATCTTTTACATCCTAAACCCATTCAGAGAGGTTTTGGGTGACAATTTTAACCAGGCTTAGCCAAATTTATCTGGAGAATCAAGCCTTGATCCTCTGAAGCCCAAGCAGCCAATATACACTGGGTCCAACAGTGTCACTTATTAGTTAAAAAAAGCTCTCAGGAGATGCATTTTGCACATTTTCTGTGGCACTGTGAGGAGAGCAGACTCCTCCTCTGTGACAAAGCTTCTCCATCTGGAGGAAGAGGATGAGGGTGAGGAGGAGGGCTGGGATCATCTCTCCAGATGACAGCCTATTTGTTTACTCCAAACATGCAGATGTGTCTGCATCAACCGAGCCATTTGGAGCAGTTGATTCACTTTGGTCAATTATCTGACCCAAAAGAAGGAGAGAAAATTGAAGATTTTCAATGAGTTCTGCTACTTATTGGAAAGGAATTTTTTCCTCAGTTTGAAAAGAATTTTTCTGCTGGAAAATCACTTCCTACCTTTCTTTTTCACAGCATCACCAGTAAGTGACATTTCCCTTCCAATTACATGATGGCAAAACTGTTTCTGGTTGAGCTAACCAAAACCTACATCAACATCTCGATCAGTCACAATTTCTGAGCTTTTGCCTTTCTCTCTCCATGCAGAACTCATGCTGGTTTTTTTCCAAACTATTTCCCCAAACATTGCTCTGATAGCTGTAGTTGTAAGACTTCTGAAGGCTATCCCAGGGGAGAAATGAAAGTCAGAGCCTGGCTGCAAAGAGGACATGGGAAAAGCCAGTGGTTCCTGCAGCCCTCATCTCTGCTCTCCTGGTTTCAGTCACTGATAGAGCCACAGCCCAAGCTCTGGCTGCACCCAGATGAAGGGAAGGATTTGCACGATGGTTTTCCAGCCAGGAAAACGCTGCCTGTGCAAACAGCATCATCTTTACACCAGGGACAGCTGCTGGAGGACTGAGCCTGGGGGTGAAGCCCCTCTGGCAGCAAGGTGGTTTCCAGCCCTGCTGCTCCTCGCCTGGTGGTGGGAGCAGGGACAGGGCTCCTTGCTGGGGACAGCACGGCTGGGGCTGGGGCTTCCAGAGCTGGCCCACTGCCCCCTGTGTGCCAGGCTGCAACCACACTGCTTTGTTTTCCAGTCGGATCTATTTGCAGTGGCGTTTGTGGTTTCTAGTAAAAAGGGAAAAAAACAAATAAGTAAAATATAAATAAACCCAGGCCCATTACATGAGCTCTATCCTCCCATTCCCCTCTCTTCCCTCCTCCTCTTTCTCTCCCTCTCTTCCCCTCCCCTTCCCTCTCCCATCCCTCCTCTGTTTTCCTTTTCATGCCAATAACTAGAAGGCTGTAATTTCAAAGCTGCAGCAGCTTTCCCAGCGCCGGGAGGAATGTGCAAGTGCCTGGGATGTTTCCACGGGGAGCTGGGCAGCCCCATGGGGCACGAGGCTCTGCTCACTCCTTTCCAGCAGCTTGGGCACAGGGGCACGTGGAATTTCACTGGAGAGGATGGGTTCTCTTCTTTGGCCCCCTCCAGCAAATCCTTGGCCACCCTGGGGTTTGTAGTTGCCATTTATTGTCTGTGGAATAACAGAAGGGTTCATCTCATCCTCTCTTTCTGCCCGTGATCTCCTGACATCTTGGGATATGAGACAGGGGTCTCTTTTTGGATGGGATGAGTCACACTTTAAATTCCATTGAGGGCAACGATTTCACAATCAGACTGTGTCAGGCTCAAGCATCACCCAAACTTCTACTCCCAGCCCTAGCTGGGACCAAGATACAGAGCTGGATTCTTGCAAGGTTTTTACTGGGAAGAGTTGATTCCAAACCCTCTGTGCCTGTTGTCTTTCATCGTTAGACCCCTCCTATGATGCAGTCAGAACAGGATGGGGCAGTAATGTGAGTTCTGGCCTCTCCAAAAGTAATTTGCCCCAGTGGGAATCACCAATTCTGCAATGGCAGGTCAGTCTGAGACTGTGGGAGAAGACAGACATAGTTGGCTCCTTTCTTCCAGAAGGGTGGGAGATTTGGGGACAGTCAGTAAGAGAAGAGCTAGAATTATGCTATGTAAAAAAAATAGAAACTGGCACAAATACTTTTATCATTGAATCCTGTGTTGAAGATGACAAAACAAACCTCTAATGCTTCCAGGGGTTGATTCAGGGGCCAGGAGCAGATCCTCTGTGCAAACAGACTCCATGTGACCCATTTACCTATAGTCCAGTGTCATTTTTTTTTGGGGGGGGGGGCATCTGACTCTCCACAAGACACTACAGAGTGCAAATAAGTGTGGCAGAACCTGGCAGGGGACACCTGCCTTGCCTTGCAGCTTTCTGAGCTGTGCACACTCCAAAGGTGAAGTTCTTTGAGTTAGAGTTTTCTGCTACGAGGGATGATACGAAGAGGAGGAACAGATGTTGATGTCAAAGTGATTTATAATGTTTGATTTGATAAACCCACAGGTTTTTGCATAAAAAGGTTGCATTAAAGAAGAATTTGCATTTCCAAAAAATCCTGGAAAAAGATCCAACATGGAAGAAGGGCAAAATTTGTACATTTAAAGAAAGGGTTTTATGTTCAAAACATGGATATAAACGAGGATGGAAGATAAGCTACAGAATAATTAAGTAGCTACATCAATTTTTTTTGCCTCATTTCCACAGTTCCATTTTACAACGAGGTTTTACATCTCTTTCTTAATTTTGTAGTGCAATTTCAAAACCAGCAGCTTTTAGGAGTAGAAAACTTTTCCCAGCCTGTTGCTATTATAGAATCATAGAATAATTTTGTTTGGAAAAGAGCTTCAAGATCATTGGGTCCAACCATTAACCTAACTATACCAAGTCCACTTTTAAACCATGCCCTTAAGCACCATATCCACCTGACTTTTAAGCATGTCCAGGAACAAGGAGTCCCCCACAGCCTTGAACAGCCTGGGCCAGTGCTTGATAACACTTTTGGTGAAGGCATTTCTCCTCATGGACAACCTCAGTCTCCCCTGGTGCAACTTGAGGACATTTACTCTTGTCCTAATGTTTGTTCCTTGGGAGAAGAGCCCGACCCCCACTTGGCTCCAGCCGCCTTTTGGGGAGTTGCCAAAGGCAAGAAGGTCTCCCCTAAGCCTCCCTTTCTCCAGGTTCAACACCCCTAGGTCCCTCAACTGCTTCTCACCAGACTTGGGCTCTAGACCTTCCCCCTCAACGTCCTTCTTCAACGTATCTTGTACTGTCATTGTCCTCTCTTCATTCCTCCTTTGCTGTTCCAGTACATATCAGACCTTTTTCTGTCTTTTCAGGCCCTCCTGTTGCAGGGACACAAAATGTGAACAAGACAACAGAACAGCAACGGCCCCAGCCAGGTAACTGTTGATTTTGTCCCCCCTGCATTCTCTTGGTGATTAATTTGTACCAGATTGGGTGAACAAACGTGTCGGGCAGCACCAACCACGGGCACAGGACAAACAGGCAGAGCTGTAGAGGGAAGTCACAGAATAATGAGTCAACTGTGAGAGGGCAGTGACAGCCCTTGTTCCAGAGGGTTTCTGTTTGACTGCGTTGCCCTTCCCCATTCAGAAGAAACGTTCCCTGTTTCAGCAGAGCCATGTGCAGTGCCCAGCAGCAGTCACACCTCCTCTGAAGCACTGTGCCACGCTGCTCAGCAGCTCGTGAAGCAGTTAGGGGCATGGAGCTGCTTGTGCTGCAGCAGAGGAGTGCCTGTTCCTCACCTCTTCACCTCTGCAGCAGGGATGTTTGGTGGCAGAGTCTCCAAACAGAACCCACAGGGCTTCCCCTGCGTCAGCGAAGCCCAAACAAGAAAAGCAAACCCTGTTGGGCAGCAAGCAGTGGAGTTTCCTGCTAGTTTCCCAAGGGGCCTTTGAAAAGCTAAATACCACCTTCCCTGCTTTGCACAGCGCTTTCTATCCCTTCTCCTTTTTTTTTGTAGGGGGGGAGAGGTTGGTTCTTTTGGCACCCATTCAATCCACGAGCAAACGCTGTAGATCCAAATCACCAAAACCAGAGAGAAGCAAAGGAGAAGTGCAGTGATTAGGGCTGAGGAGGCCCCACAAAAAGGGAAGGAATTCATTCCTAGTAAATGCACTGTGGGGTTTTCAAGAAGCACTCAGCCTCATTGGAGCCAGGGGCAAAACTCCTGTTCCTCTCATCTCTCTAATGCTCTGTCTGGAGTTGGGTGAGCATTTCATTGACCTCAGAGGGAATCAAGCTCGACTGCTAACAAGTGAATTTGAAAATCTCATCTGCTGCCCAGCTCTTTTTATTAGGAGAAATATACTTGCTCCTGATTTGTTACAGTTCTATTATCCCACACTTCTTTTTTTCATGTTTCATGTTTCTAGTTGACACATAAGTGCAGGGTATGTCCAAAGAGATTACAGACTTTGAAAGCAGGCAAGTCTGAAACCAATGCCAGAAACACTGTGCCATTTGGGATTCCACAAATAATTGGTGGTTGTTTGCTCAAAAAGAAATAAGGAACACATCAGGTCTGCTCCAGGCCCTAGGAGAAGAGTCAGGAAGAGGAAAGAAAGAAAATGAAAATTTGAACTGGTTTCTGGAATAAATAATAAGGAACTGTTGATGCTTTTTGATGAAATATTTTCTTTAAAAAATAACTTTTGTTGGCTGTTGTGTTGCTTTATTTTTAGATCCCTATCAAATCCTGGGACCCACCAGTAGCCGTCTTGCCAATCCAGGTGAGTTGATCACTGAATTTTGGAGTACCAAAATTATCAAAGGG